CTGTCCTCCATAACCTGGTTAGTCCTAACCTGGGTCTTTTTTCTCCCTCCTGTATTCCTGTCGAAACAGATTGTTTCTGTTCTTCAGCTGCATCATTCTCCTTTTCTCTATAGATTCACATTCAGCATTAGTGTGTCTGGGTGCAGTCATTATGCAATGGCTTGACAACAATGCTGTTGTCAGTGAATATGAGGGAAAAAAACAGCATTGTACCTACTGGGTCCAAAATTGCTCATTGGAGGTTCACCAAGGTTCATATTTCAACCACCAATGTAAGTGCTGGTGATTTCTCCATCAGCCTAGTTCCTTGATAAAGGTGACATATTATACCTCCTGGATTCTTAGACTCACGGCCTACATCATACACACTCTTAAATAACTCAACTGATAAATCATTTTACTTGCTGTGAAACATACTAATTTTATGCTATATAGTCACAACTACTTTCACCTCTGAAGCTCTCAACTTTTACAAGTTAAAAATAATCTGTTTTTATAGCTATCAGCATGATTAAAGATAGCAATTATGGTAAACTATATCTCCAAGAGAAGCCTTTTTTTCCTGAGTATTTAAAAAATACAAAAATAGACTACTTTAATTAAATACTTGCTTTTGAATCATAATTACTAGTAACATTATCACAATGGTACAATTAATAGAGGTCTTTTTATCATTTGTTACACATATAATCATGTAAAATATTTCTAATATAACTGCACCATCTAAGTATGAAAGCTCATAAGAGATAGAATCTCACTCTCTGTCTTCAGAGTATGGTAATATTACTAATTGGTTTTATTTGTCACCTTCTCAACCTATTAGTAAGTGTAGATTTTAAAGATTGGTTAAAACATATGGTATAGGTTTTTCCACTGAAATTCTATGGAGCATAAAATTTAGGTGTAAGTTGGTTAATAAAAATCAGTTTTATATAATTCACAAGCAGTATAATGAAAGACTATATACTAATATCTAAGAAATTGTTAAAATATTTCACTTATTCCATATACAATACTTTTAGCCATTTCTTCCCAACATACAATTTCATGGTTATTATAATGTATGTCTGTAAACCTCTGAACTATACTATAACTGGACACTTAAGGCATATCAGAGTTGCTTCCTCTATTTTTTTTGGTCAGTTGTGGGACTTGAACTCAGGATCTGGGTGCTGTCCCTGAGCCTCTTTGTTCTCAAGGCTAGCACTCTACCACTTGAGCCACAGCACCACTTCTGGCTTTTGAGTGGTTAATTGAAAATAAGAGTCTCACAGGAACTTTTCTGCCCAGACTGGCTTCGAACCACAATCCTCAGATCTCAGCCTCCTGAGTAGCTAGGATTACAGGCGTGAGCTACTGGCACCCCACAATTGCTTCCTCTTTTTATTAAAAAAAACTGACTTTTCCCACAGAAAGGCAAAGGATATTATACTGAAGCTTATTGATTTAGATAGCTATTGGATTAATTACCCAAGTGAGAAGAGTAAGTGGAAACCATTGCATACCTCTTTCCTTATAGCCTATTCTTATAACCTCCATGGAGTTACTATCATTTGAATGTATATTGAAGCTAAGCTTCCTGAAAGTTCTGGAATTCAATGTTTACTGACTATTTTTACCTGTAACTATTAAATCAGAAAAATTATCACTGAAACATCATCATTCATGTGTGTGTGGCATTTTGGTCATGTCTACCCTCCTTTCTACCCTCTCTTAACCTTCTCACTCTCTTCTTCCCCTTTGATCCTCCCTTACTCTTCCTAAAAATCTTTCTTTGTTTCTTCATATGAGAGAAAACAAGCAATGCTTGTCTTTCTGTGTCTGGTTTATTTTATTTAACATGATCTCCTCCAGTTCCATGACATAATTCCATTCTTCTTTCTAGCTGGCTATCATTTGTGCCTCTACTTTCTCAATTTAATCAATAATTTGAGAAATTTACCAGCCTAATTTCTGTCAAACAAAGCAAAGAGAAGGCAGCGTGGTGGTATAATCCCAGGACTCTGGAGGCAGAGGCTGAGCAGAAGGACTGTGAGTCAGAAGCCAGCCTGGACTATGTGCATAGTGAAATTCTAACTCAATTTCTTAAGTAAAATATTAAAATAAAAGAGAAAAAATCTGAAAGTGTTCAATGATAGGCTATGGTCGTGGATTTAAAAGCTCTGCAGATCTCCTTTACCAAAATTTCTACCTTTTGTTTTCACCCCACAATAGAGAATTTTTTGCATTATGTTGATGATTATAAATGAAAAATTCTCCTTAAGGAAACCAGGAAAGCCAAGACCGAAACATTTGTAGATGAGTCCACTGGTATTACTAATACACTGACCTCATTTACTTTTTCTAAAGAGTGTCTGTTCTCAATGAGAGAACATGATACAATTTGAATAGAGTACGCAAACCACCCTCATTCTAATTGACATAATGTATTGTTTTAAACCATCCTAAAAAGTCACCACAAACACACAGCCAGCGCGATTGTTTGGTGCCGATATTATATGCCCAGCCTCACCATGAACATTTTGATTACAGGTACAGCAGATGCTTGACACACCACCGAACACCAGCTGGGTCCCGCTTCCTCCGGGAAGTTCCAGCTGGCTTACCGGAAGCCATCCGTCCAGAGCCAAGATTTCCTTTGGGCCACCAGCAAGTCAGAAAAGTGAGGGTCTCTCATGGTTCACTAGATCTCTGTGGTCGCCAGGCAGATACATGTTTTGAGTCAGGGGTGTAAGTGGGTACAGTGTGACATTTCCCCACCGGCTTGTTCTTTTGGTGTCCTCTAAAGTGACTCGTTCCCTTAGTACACAATTTGCAGCCTTCTTCTCCTCGCTTGACTTTACCATTGTTTGAGATGATAAAATCTTCCGTTTTGCACAACTACCAGGAGTTCACAGCTGCCTCTTTTGACCTAAGGTAATTTAAACATATTTCTTTCTTTGCCTTCTCAAAAAAAAAAAAAAGTGGCTTAATGGGACTTTGAATTTTTTCCTGTCACAAAAATTCGTAAGGTTTTTGTCAAAAGAGATTTGAAATACCACATGAAATGATGTACTCACATCCCTCACCAACACCTCCAAATACCTGAATTACATAAATAAAACATTACATAAGAAGTACTTTGCTACAATTTATGGGAGGTAAATTTAACAAGAGCTGGCTCACTGTAAGAAAATTCAACTTATCTTTCTCTGATCCTTTTATTCTATACAGGGAGAGAAATTTATGTCAGTTAAAAAAATCTATTACTGCTTCTCATAACTGAATCCATTATTTTTCCCCATGCTCCATCAGGGTAAAAACAAGAATAATAGATTGCTTTGACAGAACCTTGAACATAAATGTCCCCAAGAATCCGACACAGTAAGTTAAATGAGTTTCAGGTGGTATTAAAACAAGAAAGGATAACCTTCTTTTTATATTTCAAAACCAGATCCTATTTAAAAATTTATTTTCACTACTTACCACAGAAAGACAAATTATTAAGTGGTTGAATTTGCACAATAAAATGAGAATGTTTCGGTTCATTTCTACCTATGCCCAAGCGGAACTGAACCCAAAGAAATGAACTCAGGGAAAGGAGCTATTTTCTGTTAAGTATTGCTAATTTTTAACTAAACTGCTCCTTGAGTACATTAGACAATATAACTTAAATAAATAAATGAAGTCATCTTTTAAGTCATTGAGTGATTGAAAATATTAATATTAACCATACTTTACAGATATTCTTGCTTCTCTAAGTGGTTCTATAATTGTTAGCTCCACAAACCCATTGTAGTATCAGGTCTTCAGCAAAGTTTCTGTATGTACTCACCTACCAGCCTAATATATAAGGGGGTGTGGGATGATAGACACACAGACAGATATATCTGCACATAGATTAATTCTAATAATTAGTTTATCTCAGATGATTTTCTCATGGACATCTCTCCAGCAATTAATCTCTAATTTTATTCAGCTAAACTAACACACCAACTAATCTCCAGGGAAGACAATCACATTCCCATGTTCAATGTCAGACCTTCTTCTAAGCCACTCAACATCCATATGAAATGTGTTATTAGTCCAGAGTGGACATGTGACCCACACAGAAAAAGAATCATGGAGATTAAGAGTGAAATTTCCATCTAGCTTTAGCAAAGTGAGAAGATAATAAAGAGCCCTAGTTGCTGCTGGCGCTCTGGTATAAACATTGAGAATAAGAATTATGTGGAGGTTTGGGGTAACATTATTGAGGGTTAATGGTATTAATCCTGGCACCTTCCTTACCTCTTGTCCCTGAGTTTTAAAAAGTTTACAAATTGGTTTCTTGCTTATTCATAGACATATTCTTCTCAAAGAAAAGTAAGGGAATACACTCAAAACAATCTGTTTTCTCATGGCTTGTTCATTCTAATTGCTATGAATCACATCTTTGAACATACATTTGACTTTGAAACTAACTTGGAGAAGTCTTGTTATTCTTCTAATGCAGCAGAGAATTTGATATACCCATTGCTTAAGAAGGCAATAACATTGTTACGAAGGTTAACACAAATTTAAGATAGCTAAAAACCTTCACCTAGGAGTCAAGTTTATATTTATAACCTAGTTCAGACATTATCCCTAGCCTCTAGATCTGAAAAGAGCTTGACTTGCCTTGTGATCTATTTAAAAGTGGCTTAGGTGCCAATTTTAAAAATGACTTAGAAGGCTGTAGCAATACTACTCTTACCTTGTTTTGCTTAATGACTTTAATACCTACTTCTTACACCTTGTGGGCTATTGGGTGTTTGTCACATATTTCTGTACATAATAACTCAACAGCTTTGCAACCTGATTCTTAGCATTAAGAGATTAAAACTAATACAGATGATTCTCAAATGACACATACTGAGGTATAGAAAAATTCCATCATTTCCTTCTAAAAAATGAGAACGATTTTAATTCTTTTTCTCAACAGCTGCTTCATTTTTTTATGCATAAGAAAAATATGTGCAATTACTTCAAGTACAATCAAGTCATTTAACATGGCTTTCCCATCATTGTAGTTACAGGATATTTTAAAAGAGAGGGGAAAAAAATCTCAAAGCACAGGTCCTGCTGTGCAGCAATGCAATCAAATTCCTTCATAATAACAGCTTGATGGGATTCAGCAATCTGAGGAATAATGAATAACCACTCTAATCAGTAAACAGGAAAATGCTACAACAGTCACCACGTAAAAATTGACTATCATCTGTTGATTCTCTTGATCGGCATTTCAAACAATAAATAGAAATGTAAGGATCTTTTAAGAAGAAAAATAACCTCATTAAGTGTGTTAGATTTTGCCAGGCAGTTTGAGAAAATGATAAACCACCTTCTACTGCTCTGTAGTGTTTCCCAGTCAATAAAATATACATATAATCTTTTGTGAAATACATGGCCAAATTTGTCCTTTTACCCACATATGTCAAGATAAATGGGTATTGTGATTGGCTGATAACATTGTGTCTCTGGACTGATTATTTGATTTTTTTTTGCTTCCATCAATGTTCATCTTATGAAGTTATTTGTATCAGAATATGAAGAGTCTGTTTCAAAATAGTCCTCAAGTTTCCAATGCAGTGTCTCAAAGGTAGGTCTTTCTTTAGGCTCTGAATTCCAGCACTCCAACATGATACTATAGAATTGTTGTGGACAACTAGCTGGTTGTGGGAGTCTGTAGTTGTGACCCAACATCTGGATTACTTGAGCACCTGTCATACCTGAAAACAATATAGAATGGAACGAACAAAAACAAACAAAAGATTAGTCTTCAGTTCATGTTCATAAGCACCAATCCACTAGATTGCAAAGCAAATCAATTTCTTGGGCAAGATGATGGGAATCTACCTTCTAATTCCCAGTTTGCAGAGATTAAACTAAATCCTGCAGCAAGTTGTGTCTGTCTACAAGAGTGCAATTCAAGAGCAAAGGAGAAGGAAGCAATAAGCCACCTCATTAATGTAAATTATCATCATCAAATTTTATCCCTCAAGCCCTCACAGGCACCGAGTCTGGTCAGCTACATCACTCTGCCCTCTAAGTCTAGGAAAAACAGCTCAAGGCACACCTAAGGAAGTGACCTACAGCAGAAAGGCTCACTTCGGAATTCATTACTCACCACTATAAGGCATTTTGCCATAAGTAATGATTTCATAAAGCAGGATTCCAAATGACCACACATCGGACTTAATGCTGAATTTATTAGTACGAATGGCTTCAGGGGCAGTCCACTTCACTGGCAGCTTGATTTCATGTTTAGATTCATAGATGTCTTCATTATCTACCTGTTAATGCATGAAAGAGTCGATCCAAGTTAAAGTATTGCTGGGGATTGTTGTTGTTGTTGTTGTTGTTTTCATTGTTTGTTTTTTGCTTCCCTCACTCGTTTAAAGTTTCATGTTAAATTTTAGAGGGAAAAATATCCAAAATGATCTTAGATCAATTGATGATTATAGTAGCTAATTCTGAGTCACACAGGTAAGGTTGAAAAATGTGGGAATTGCATTAATAAAATATTATTTGATAGCCTACTATTATTTGATCAGCCCTGGAAGGACTATTCTATTATATTGGGAGATCTCATATAAGATGCTTTACAAATGATGCTTAAAAATTTAGTAAAAGAAAAGGAAGCGAAGTCTGGGGTTATTTTAATTTACTGGTGGTATTGAAGAGCCAGTGGCTTTGATAATTACAAAATAACCACTTATTAATGCTGAAAAATAGAATTCAAATGATTCAAACTAATAGATCAACTCACTAGGGTTTTAATTAGCTTACCAAAAGGAGCGTTGATGAGTATGTGAGGATCAAAAGGGAATCTTTTATTTGTTGTACTTCATGTCCCATATCCATATTTTTAGGGGTATAATATGGAGATTTAAAAGTAAATCCAGAGATAAATACCTAATATTATGCTTCTATGTTAGTATATTTTGGACTCATGTCACAAAGTAGGTTAAGGAAGGGGAATTTAAAAGTTGGTGGCTGTAGCCAGTACCCTGGCTCATGTCTGAAATTCCAGCTACTCAGGATACAAAGAGCAGAAGGATCATGGTTCCAGGTCAGCCTAGGTCAAAAGTTAGTAAGACCCTCAATTCAACAAGAAAGCTGGGCATAAGTGGGAGGACACATATAGAAGACATAAGTGGGAGGATCACAGGCCAGGCAAAAATAAAATGAAACAAAAAGAAACAAAGCATAACAAAAAAGTAGGAGCCTTCCTAAAAATAGCTTTAAAAAATGTTCTGGATGAATGGCTAAAATCTTAGCCCAATCTAACAAGAATAGGGTCCTGAGTTCAAACCAGAGGATTGCCACCCTCCGGACTTGTAGAATTCTGGCAACATGTAGATTAGTTGGGCATAGAGTAAGCAACAGTAGGTTCTGTAATCATATAAAGCATGTTGCTTTTGTAAAAGAAATACAGGAAGAAATACTGGTAGTAAATGAAAAGGCAGACCATAAATTCAAGCACACAATTACACATTTACAACTCAAGTAGATCATTATTTTCTGTGTTTTTCTTCCCTATGTTGAAGAAATTGGAACAGACAGATAGACTATAAGTCTTAAGCTATTTGAAGTGTTCTATGAACTAGGAACTTGGAAAAATGGTGTTTTGAAGAATAACAAAGGGTAGTGTTCTTAGAGGCTGAATTAAACCTAGTACAAAAAGAATTAAAACAAAATCAAATCTACCTTAAAAACTCTTGCAAGTCCAAAATCTGCTACTTTGTAGATATTATGTTCACCAACGAGGACATTTCTGGCAGCAAGATCTCTGTGGATATAGTTCTGAGACTCCAAATAGGCCATCCCCGAAGCAACCTGGGCCGCCATGTCTACCTGTTGAGGCAAATGGATTTTTGTCCCAGCATCATCTAAGCAATAAGAGAAAACAAAAGAGAATGACATTGGAAAATATTTAGACTACTGGATGAATTCTGGGACTTTTGATGAATGATCCGTGGTACTGATCTGAGAAAGGGGAAAAGATATCCTGTGATCAAAACACAACTACCATTATCTGAAAGAGCCAAGTTATTGCTATTTTTCAATATCACAAGTCACTGACTCATAGCCACTTAGCTGCTTCTAGATTGCTTTGATTTCTTTGAAACATGGTACAGTTTGCTTTATTCATTGGATCCATCTTCTTGTTGACTGATCCAATAAAGACAGATTTTTCTTTAAATCTAGCTCACTAATAAAAATAAAGGATGTATCAGTCATTATAAAATGTGCATATTGCATTTGAACTAATTACCTTAGTAAATTTGTATTTGCTTGCTTGCTTTTCTTCTGGTCCTGGGGCTTAAACACGGGGGCAGGACCATGTCCCTGAGCCTCTTTGTATTCTCAGACTTGCACTCTACCACTTGAGCCACAGTGCCACTTTTTACTTTTTCTGAGTATGTTATTGGAGATAATAGTCTCATAAATGTTCTTGCTCAGGCTGGCTTCAAACCACAGTCCTCATATCTCAACCTCCTGAGTAGCAAGGATTACAGGCTTAAGCCACTGGCACAGAGCTTATTTAATTGCTTTCTTAACCAGTTATTGTTAGAACAGCTTGTGCATCTTTTTATGTAGAGACATATTTTAAATAGGCATTTAATATACTGCTTGTTGTGTATAGCTAAGTATAGGATCAGTTACATGATTAGTAAAAGAAGTCAATGCTGGGCTGAGAAGGTGGCTCAGTGGTGGAGCACTTGCCTTGCATGCATGAGGCCCTGGGTTCAATTCCTCAGCACCACCACATAAGCAGAAAAAAAAGCCGGAAGTGGTGCTGTGGCTCAAGTGGTAGAACGCTAACCTTGAGCTGAAGAGCTGAGGGACAGAGCCCAGGCCCAGAGTTCAGGCCCACGACTGGACCGCCCCCCCCCAACAAAAAGAAGAAGTCAATGCTACTTTGTGGTGACTTTCTGAAATAACATCAGTTATTCCTGGGTTTTATTAATCTGCCATATTATTAGTAGTATCTTCTAAATTTATGAAGAATTTTTTTTAGGGCTGTGGATTTTGATGATGATGATTTTTTTATTTATTTTTTATTTGTGAACATACTGTACAGAGGGGTTACAATTACATGGGCAGGATAATGCGTACATTTCTTACCAAGCATTGCAGCCTCCTCCTTTGGTTTAC